ACAGTAGGAAAAAAGCAAAATTCCATGGAAGAAGCTCTCATTAAACTAGAGCTGGATAAAGCAGCATATATTTTAAGTTTCCAAAATATTCCTGAGAAACAAGATGAGAAACTGAAATTTGAAATAGCACAGATATTGGCAGAATATATGAAAGCAGAAAATATAGATGAACTCTATAATGCAATTGATAGTGCATATGGAATGAACTCTGCATATGCAAGGAGAAATAAACTGCCAAGAGAAGTGCATGTTAGATTTCACAAAAGAACAATAAGAGATGAAATTCTGAAAGCAACAAATGAAACACCTCTGCAAATAGAAAAAACAGAAATCAAAATTTTAAAGGAAATTCCATGGAGAGTGAGAGAGAAGAGGCTATATGGACCTCATAAGCACCCTCAGAAAGAATGGAATTCCATACAGATGGCTACTCCCAGAAGTCATCTTTTTTATTTATAAAAAGAAAAGGTATAAATCAACTATACTTTTAAAGTGGAAGAGGTTTTAAGAACACATGGTGAAGATTTGGAAACTGAGGAAGAAACAGAAAACACAGAAGAGGACCAACAAGAAGCACAAGGAGCAACTGTTGTTGTTGTTCAGTCGCACAGTCGAGTCCGACTCTTCGCGACCCCATGGACCAGATCATGCCAGGCCCTCCTGTATTCCGCCGTCCTCTGAAGTTGGCTCAATTTCATGTTTGTTGCATCTATGACACTGTCTAACCATCTCATCCTTTGCCGTCCCTGTCTTCTTTGACCTTCAATCTTTCCCAGCATCAGGGTCTTCTCCAGTGAGTGCTCCCTTCTCAGTTGGTGGCCAAAGTATTTGAGCTTCAGTTTCATTATTTGGCCTTCCAGGGAACAATCAGGGTTGATTTCTTTTAAGATTGACTGATTTGATCTTCTTGCAGCTATAGGAACTGGAAAAACTACAAAAACAGGGAAAACTAGAAAGGATGCAATGTCCCAGAAGATTACAAGATTTAAACGGAAGAACAAAGACACAACAAAACACAAATCAAAGATGGATAGAAGAAGAATAAAGATAATCTCAATAAATGTTAACGGACTGAATGCACACCAAAAAAGAAGACAGACTTTTCAACAATTTAAAAAGATGCAATTGAATGTGATAAGTCTACAAGAGACCCATATCAAACACTCAGACCAAAAATACTTGGAGATTTAAAAAAATGTGGAATTTTTTTTCTTTGGACTAAGAGAGAAAAAGAGAGGTGTGAGGACATATGTTAAAGAACACTTGCAGCCAGAATTAATCTACAGCTCTGAAGATGGCAGAATTTTGATAGTTCAAATACAAAGACAAGGCAAAATAACTTTAATTATAAACATATATGCACCAAACCAACACCAAGAACATTTTTACAAAATGCTACAAGAACTCATTTTAAAACAAAATTATGAGGAAATCTGTCTGATTGGAGATTATAATGCTGTTTTTGATAAGCTTCTAGACAGAAAACAGAAAAAAGTTCCCAAATACATTTTTACAACTTGCTGAAGAGCATAATCTGATCGATTCTTGGAAAAAAGAAACCCCAAAAAGAAAGACTATACCTTTTATTCAGCAAGACATAAGTCATGGTCAAGAATAGATATGTGTTGGATTTCAGCAACAATCCTAAATGACCTAGTAGAAGTAGAAATACTACCAGCAACTTTTGCAGACCATAATCCTCTTATGGTTACATTGCAAGATACACCAAAGGAAAACTGATGGACTTTTAATACATTTTTATTGGAAAATTCAAAAATTGTAACAGAGACCAAAAAAGAATTTCAAATGTTTTTTGAGCAGAACATCCAACCAGATATTTCCATTCTAACTGTATGGGATGCATTCAAGGCTTATGCCAGAGGTCGGATAATCAGAGAATCAGTGCGCACAAAAAAACCAACACAAAACAGAAAAGTTCTCACAAATCAAGGACCATATTAAGATGCAGGAAGAAAATTTGAAACAAGACCCATCAGCTGAATATCTAAGAGTGAAATTAAAGCTGTTACAACATCAAATGAATGGCCTGTTGACAGAAGAAATAACTAAAAAAGATTACTTATGCAAAACAAAACAATTTTCAAAATGCTAATAAACCAACCAGATGGTTAGCATATAAACTATGAAAAGAAAAAGAAAAGAGAAGTATAAAGATTTTAAAGGACAGTGTAGGAGAAGAAGAAAAACTTACCCAAAGATTTAAATAAAATAACTGAGATATTTTATAGGAAGCTATACCAAGCTACAACAGAGGGATTTGCATGTCAGGGTTGCTGCCAATCGGGTAATGCAAATCCAGCTCTTTCTTTTGCATCTCGTAGGGCCTTCATTTTTATTCTTGGTTTCTTGTTCTGCAATATAAATTTAGACATCATTTTATCCAGGTCTTTAAAGTATTGTTGATTTTGCAGGATTGGGATTGTTTGAAATAAAAATATCAATCTTGGTAGAATGTTCATTTTTATTGTGGTTATTCTGCCCATCAAGGTTATTTGTAGGCTTTCCCATTTTTCAAAGTCCTTTTGGATTTCCTGCATAAGTTCCATGTAGTTATCTTTCACCAAAGAGCTACATCTATTTGTTATGTTTATACCTAAATACTTCACTCTTTTTTGTGCTTCAAAACCTGATTTCTCCTGTAACTGTTGGGTTTGGTTTTTCGTCATATTTTTTACTAACATTTTTGTTTTAGTCAAATTGATCTTCAAACCCACAACCTGACCATATTTCTGTAGTGTTATTAATAACTGTGTAATTGGGTGCAATGGATTTTCTAAAATAAATACCAGATCATCTGCAAACGCTTGTAGTTTATATTGTTCTCCTCTTATTTTAAGTCCTCTGATGCATCTATATTCTCTGATGGTATCATTCAGAATTTCCAATACAAATATGAACAATAATGGGGAAAATGGACAACCTTGTTTGGTTCCTTTTTGTATTTCAACGCTTTGTGATAAGTCTCCATTAATAAGGAACTTTGCATGTTGTTTAGAGTAGATTGCTTTAACTATTGTAAAAAATTCTTTGCCACATTGTGAATCTGCTAGTTGTTCCAACATAAAACTCAACCTGACATTGTCAAATGCTTTTTCCGCATCCAGAAAAATTAAAGCCATTTGCTTTTCTGGGTGTCCTTCAGAGTTCAAGACTGTTCTAACATTATTTCTAAGTTTTCTTTTTGGTAGAAATCTTGCTTGGTCTTGATGTATTTGTCTGTGTTAATACTTTTTTCAGTCCTGTAGCTAAAACTGAAGCATAGACTTTATAGTCCGCATGTAATAGTGAGACTGGTCTGTAGTTTTTAATTTTTTCTCATCTGAGTTTTGCTTGTGTATCAATGTTATTAGGGCTTCATTCCAAGTTTCTGGTATTTTACCTTCAGCTCTTATGGTCTGCATTACATATTTTAAAGGTAGTGTCACTTACATGATAGAATATATGATACATGTCAGATACGTGATAGAATTCTGCCAGTAATCCATCAGGGCCTGGTGTTTTCTCTCTCTCTCTTTTTTTTATTGCTTCTGTAATTTCACACATGGTTACTTGGTCATTTAAGATTTTCCCTTGCTCTTCGGTAGTTTCTTTGGTTATATTGCTGCAAAAAATCTTTAATCTCCTCTAGATGGGCGGGGGCTAAACCAGCCTCAGCCTTAAGAAGGGTGAAGAAAGCTTTCTAACTTTTGGGGCTTTTTAACTTTGGCTCTGCAAAGGGGGGGGTCAGCTTAGCTGGGTGTTTTTTTGGGCTTTTTAGTTAGGGCTTGGGGGGTTGGCTGAGGGGGAAAAGCTGGTTTTTGTGTTGTAAGTCGCCCAGAGTTTGCTCTGCAGGGTAGGAGATGCATAAATTTAATAAAATAAATAAACATCCTGTTCAGGGCCCATAATTCTTAACTGGTGTGTGTGCAGGTTCTGTGGAAAGGGGCTCTGTGAGAGAAAAGAGCGGCCCTGAACCGGCCGAGGGAGCCACCTGTCCAGCGAAAAGGGAAGCAAACCTCCGCTCAGGGGTTATTTCCCTCACTTGAGAGCCAGCTTTACTTTATATATTGAAGTCATCCACACATCATATGTACCTTATGACATACTTTATTTTCTGTTGAATGCACCTTTGTGGTTCATCTCCTTCTGTGTCTTGTCTGTCAAGTCAAAAAGCTACGCAGCCGGGGTCTCGGTTTACCTCACATATAAGTATAGCCTCAGTCTAGCAGGTTTCCAAATAAGAGACATTTAGGGAACGTACAGCTCACACGCTACTGTAAATCTTTACTGTAAAGTTTGTGTCCCCCTCTATTTGGTTGTGGGCTAATAATAATAATAATAATAATAATAGCATTAGCAAAAAAGCCATAGCAACTGTACAGGATAAAATAAAACAAATTAAAAAGACAACAACAACACGCACTTAAAAGGTCGACAGTTATCAGCAGTAAACTAGTTAAACTCAGGGAGATTTGTTTTCTTAATCACCGCAGCTAGAAAGGAAGCCACTATAGCCGTGGTTTGATTGTCAGGGAAGTTATCAGACAATAGCACTGAAACTACCCAAGGAAGGAGGGGAAGCTTTTCTTTTCTCATAACGGGAATGATGTATCTCTCTCTTTCCTTATTCCACTTAGGACAAAAAAGCATTATATGATCCATAGTTTCTATCATCTCTTGTCCACAATCGCAAACACGTTCTGAAAACGGAAGTGTGGGCATATAAAGGAGGCCAGAGTGGGGTACTGGACATTCTTCAGTCCAGAAGACGGTTCCCTCAGAGCCTCCCCACCCCAACCCACCCCATAGCCACCACAGAAGCTCATCTGCATAAATGCTATTTTATCTTTGGGACATTATTTTCTCTTTGTGACAGAGAATTCAAGTTTCTTTGAAGAAAATTAGAAACAGTCCAATTCCGTATTGCAAAGAAAGTTGATAACACGAGAAAGGATCAAAGGGTTTCATGTTTGTATCTTTTTTGCATTGTTTTTCTTCAGGAAAGGTTTTGGTTCACTGCATTCTTGGTAAAAGCAGATCGGCAACCCTGGTGCTGGCTTATCTCATGATCTACCAGAACGTTTCGCTGAGGGATGCTGTGGAAAGGGTTCTCCAGCACCGAGCCATCTCCCCAAACCAGGGGTTCCTCAAACAGCTGCAAGATCTTGATCTGGAGTTGCACTACAAGATAAGCCCGTGTCAATTCTTGTAAGCTGAAGCAAGAAAAACGGAGGCAACCAGGTGGACAGATCTGTGTCAGGGGTCTGCAACAGGGTGCGTGTGGGCGCCAGGGCACCTGCCAAGTAGGGACGCCAGCCCCCAGGTGGGATCTGTGGACCTCATCTCCAAACCACAGAGCTCAGTTCCTTTGGAGAAAATGGATGCACTGAGGGCAGACTATATGGCATTGTACCCCACTGAGGTCCCTGTCCCCTACCCAGGCTCCATCCCCAAATCTCCAGGACTTCGGCTTTGATCTTAGGAAGAGGGGCATTGCTGAAAAATTAAAATGGGTGCCAGGAGACCACGTTACAGACCACTTCTCTGCGGCATTGGGGTGTGTGTGTGCGCCAACAGGCAGCATTTTAGAAGTGGGCATGTGCGCACATGGATGGGAATACCTCTCCTGAAAGGGTGTGGTGGTTATGCACACTCATTTGGTAGCAGGAGTCACCTGAAGAAAGGCATTCCGTTCTGCCAGAGGCGAAAGGGGGGAGGACGCCTCCGCCGACACGAAGCCTGCACCTGTAGCTGGGGTCGTCAACTCTGGGCTTGGGGGTGGGGCCCGGGGAGTAGAAGGGCCGCGGGAGGGATGTGAGGCTGTGGAGCCCGCCCTCCTCGAGGGGAATCGACACCAATCCTTTAAGATCACTTTTGCAAATCCGAGAGCTCTCCAGGCCCCATCTGGAAGTCGGCAACCCTACCTAGAGTCTTTGTGTGCAGCTGTCAACATTTTTTAAAGTTCTGCTTTTCTGGTGGAGGAGGATCTTTTAAAGACAGGACTTTTAAAGACAGTGCTCATTATAACCCACTAATGGCACTACGGTAGAATCATCATTTGGCGTGACAGTTCTTCAGCCTGCCACTTTGGTCCTTTCTGCACTAGGCCTCAAATCCTCTGCCCACCGACCGCTCCCAGCTTTCTTTCCCAGCCACCAAACTTCTGTTTTCTCTCCACCACACCTATGTAGCCTCAGCTCTTAGTGACCTCAAAAATAAACACTGTGAACAAGTTTCAGTGCGTTGGACTTTGTAGTCATTCTGAGTACCATTCATGAACCACGAGGAGAAGAACTTGGGTGGGGGATGACCAGGAATGCAGCCATTCTGCACAAAGGGCAGGTAGACCCAGGTGGTCAGACCCATGTTGGTCTCAAGCAGCAGAACAACGTTTGAGTCCAGAGGCACCTTTAAGACCAACAGAGGTTTATTCAAGGTAGGAGCTTTTGTGTGCACGCACAGTTCTTCAGATACATTGGAATGGAAGGTATGGTTTGAACCTTACCAATCCATTCCAATCTATAAGTCTGAACCTTACCTACCAGTCCAATGTACCTGAAGAAGTGTGCGTGCACATGAAAGCGCTGACCTTGAACGAAACTCTGTTGGTCTTAAAGGTGCACAAAGGGCAGTAAAGCAGGAGACTGGTACATGGACAGGAGTCACCGTGGCCTGTGTGCCAGGGCTCGATAGTGTCCGTGCACAAGCACACTTCCATGTCCAAAGGGGAATGGCGTCCATAGGTGTGCATGGATAGCATGCTGCTTTATAGTACTCATGTTTTAGGCCATTATGCACCAGTTGGCCACAATATGACCATGCAACTACAGACTAAATGACGGCACTCAAAGTGCAAAGGATGGCCTGTGTCCCATCATACAGCAAATAACCCACTCTGTCCTCCTAGAATTGCAGGCAGTATAAATGGTTCTCTCCCCTGCCCCTTTATCTTACAGAATCATAGAGTTAGAAGGGGCCATCTAGTCCAACCCCCTGCTCAATACAAGATCAGCCTAAAGCATCTCTGACAAGTTTTTTCCAGCCACTGCTTGAAGACTGCCAGTGAGGGGGAGCTCACCACCTCCCTAAGCAGCCGATTCCTCTGCCAAACTTCTCTTACTGTAAATTTTTCCCCTAATACCCAGTACCTTTCTGCCTGTAAACCCGTTATTGCGAGTATATCCTCTGCTGCCAACAGGAACAGTTCCCTGCCCTCCTCTAATAAGTATAATAGCCTTTCAAATACTTCAAGTGAGCAATCATGTTCCCACTCAGCCTCCCCTTCTCCAGACTGAACCTTCCCAAGACCCTCAGCCTTTCCTCGTAGGGCTCGGTCTCCAGGCCCCGGATCATCCTTGTTGCCCTACTCTGCACCCGCTCCACTCTGTCCCCATCCTTTTTGAAGTGAGGCCTCCAGAACTGCACACAAGACTCCAGTTGCAGCCTGATCAATGCAGTGTACAGCGGGACTATGGCATCTTGCGTGTTGGCTGTTGTGCCTCTGTTGATACATCCCAAGACTACACTAGTCTTTTTTGCCTCTGCATCACACTGACTGCTCATATTTAGCTTAGTCCACCTGTACCCCAGGATCTTGTTCACACACATGGCGACCAATGCTCCCTCTAAGCTGCCGAGTCCTGTGAGCAAAACTTCTACATTGTGAGCTCTCCTGGGCATTCAAGTTGTGAGTGAGCACTTTGGCTTCTGCATAGATTAGTTTGCTCTGGAACCCCATCCTTCCTGAGCCGAGACAAAAATATGTGAGTCAGAGGCTAAAAAACTGTGAGCCGGCTCACACTAACTCAGCTTAGAGGGAACACTGACGGTGACCCAGAAGTGTGTCCCCCATCTAGAATGCATGCTTCTCTCTTTTTTTACCCAGCTATAGATCTCTGTGAAGGAGCTGCAGTGGCTCAAGTGGTTAAGACGCTGAACTGCAGGCTGTGGAAGGTCAGTAGTTCAGCAGTTCGAGACCCGGGTGTGCTGCATGTCGGAGTGAGCTCCCGTCTCTAGTCCCAGCTCCTGCCAACCGAGCAGTTCGGAAGCAAGTCATTGCAAGTAGATAAATAGGTACCACTTCGGTGGGAAGGTAACAGCGTTCCGTGCGCCTTGGTGTTTAGTCATGCCGGCCACATGACCATGGAAACGTCTTCGGACAGCGCTGGCTCTTCGGCTTGGAAACGGAGATGAGCACCGCAACCCTAGAGTCGGATTCGACTGGCTTTCGAGCAAGGGAACCTTTACCTTTATAGATCTCTGCACTTATTCTTGTTTAATTGCATCTAATTCACATCCATCCACTTTTTCATTGTGTTCAGATCTCACTGAACTCTACCACTGGCCCATTCTGCATCTGGCATTTGCTCCACATTTTCTCAGCACTTGACCTGGTTCCCCCTTACCTTGAAATATCTATTTTCATTGCATTACCTCGGATCCTGGTTTCTGCATTTGCTACCCATTAAGTCCCATGTCAGTGTGCCATCTATTTTGTTTTCAACGCTCACTCCTGCACTGGTGTGCAGATTTTCCTGTGCCAGTACTTGCCTCAGAGGTCATTAGCCATGTAGGAGATGGTTTGAATGGTGGATCGCACCTGACTGACGCTAGTAATTCATGGTGAGGCGATAAATACAGATGGGGGAAATAGGGGCGGGGGAACTGACAGAGATCAATGAAGCCGTGTCATGTTGTCTGCTTATTGTTCCCTTCGAACCAGAAGTGGAGGAAGGAAAAGGGGCAGCTCAAAACCGCATTCAGATACCCCGGGGGCAATGCCGTACTGTTAGCCTGATTGCTCTTAGTTATTATCAATATTGGGGAATATGAGATATTATACAATAGCAATAGGCAATAAGGGAACAAACACTTTTATATACAGGCAGGGCTATTTTTGGGCAGGAACGCACAGGAACGGAGTTCCGGATGGCTCCTGAGTTGGCTACGCCCAGCAGGAACTCATTCGGATTGGCTACATTAGGGGTGTGTGGCCTAACATGCAAAGGAGTTCCTGCTACAAAAAAAGGCCCTGGGTTTTGACAACAAACAAGGTAAACAGAATACCAAGCAAAAGGTGGGTGTGGCTGGATGAGCACACTTCTGGTAACACATGGGTGTGGCCTAATATGCTAATGAGCTGTGCTGTCATGGGTGTGGCCTAATATGCTAATGAGTTTCAGCTGTTGGGTATGGCCTATTATGCTAATGAGTTCCTGCTGGGCTTTTTCTACAAAAAGAGCCCTGTAGGGGTCCCACTTCTTCCAATATAAAATGATTCCTTTACTGTAGGTTCTTCACAAGCAAACAATACACAAGCACGCCCACAGTTACACAGCTTCTAAGAAAATTAGATGGAAAATCAATAGACATCCGCATGAGGGGCAATATTTACCTGTCCGGCGAGATGGTGCGTCCCAGTGGAAAAATAGGGGAGACTAATAGGACATAGAGATCGTGCTCTGAACTGGCCAGAAACACGTGGAGACTTTGGCCGCAGTCCAAAAGTCTTAGAGGCAGGGTGAGTTTAGAGAGCTAAAGAGAGGTCTAGAGAGCATGTTGCTGGGTGCCCACTTTTGTATGGGGGCTCTGGGGGGAGGGCTTTGCTGGCGGTCCGTTCCAAAAGTCACGTCCGCGATGGGGATGGGGGCTTAAAGGGTTGGTCAATATTAAACTTCTAAGTGTATGGCAGAGACACCTCGAGGGTAGGGATGACTCATCGGCTGTCACCTGTTGTGATGGAAGTTCATTTCCTCAGCCAGGTCAGGAAGAATCGGTTACTCGAGAGGATTAGGAAGGCCAAGTCCTTTGTCAATGGAAGGCGGAAACGAATCTTTTGTGTCTTCGCTGCGCAGAGAAGGTTGGGGGGAAGGAAAGTTGCCTGTGTGATGAAGAAGGACTCTCTTAATGGCATCGGGAGTCCCTGGTTTAAAGCACAATGGCAGATGGTTGTTTTGGAGTGCTTCATGTGTCTAGGGATACATCTTGGAATGGGCAACCTCGGGAACCACGGGCTCATCGTCTCAGGCTACTGCTGGCACGTGTCTGGCATCCCAATCTGGTCACCTTACATCAGAGTCCCTTTTGCACGTTTTATACACAGTCCATTTATGTCCATAAAAGCACACAAAGCTCCTTGCTGGGCAACCGTACTGCCTGTGAAGTTACCCCTGAATGGCCATCAATCTATGCAGAAGGTACCAGAAAACCCAATGAATAAAGAAAGTGAAAGCGGCATGCAGTGTAGAGGGAAATTAACCTCCCGACGTGGCTGTGGGGAAACTGCGGGGAAGCGAATGGGTGCGGAATCAGCCACTATCTTCCAGGGAGTTTGCTGCTCCTCCTGATTTGGTGTCATTTGCAGATTTAATTAGTAGTCCACTCCCTCATCCAGATCCAGATTCTGGGCCCAGAACCAAGCCCGGTGGCACCCCACTGGGCACCTCCCTCCAATCCATTGAAATGCCATCGACAACTACTCTTTGGTGTGGTTCTCCAGCCAGTTTCCTGTCCACCTCACTATCCTAGATTCTAGACAGATACTCCTCTTTAGTGGTGTCCTCCCCTTCACTTGCTCCTTTTCCTTCCAGTAATTTTGTCCATGGAATGACAGAGGTTTGTATGCACACAAAAGCTTATACCCAGAATTAAAGGTGCCACTGGACTCAAACTTTGTTCTAATACAGTGGACAGTGTGTCCTACAGTCAGAAACACACCAGGACAGGCTCTAGGCCTGAGAAGAAATGTACAGGCAGCCTCACTGTATAAGAAGCTACCGTTCAAAACTGATAGCACAACTTAATGTTAAGGTGCAACAACATACTCCAAACTGACAAAAAATAAAACAGCCAACCCTGTGATCCATGTATAATCCCCCAAAGGCTTCTCTGTGTTTGTTGGTCCTGTTAAAACGGTGAAGCAGTCCCGTCCTCTGCAAAACAATTAAAATTCGGGAATCATCTTGGAATGTGAGTATAACCATTTGGGGGATTGATGAAAAACATAATTTGTTTTCACTTATTCCTTGCCTCTTATTATGTCATATGTAGCTGCAGAGCAACACCTAGAGGTGGAAATACTGTCAATAGCTGCCTTGTAAAACTGCGTGTGTGCGTGTGATGACAAAATGTTATAGGTTTTTCTGTGTAACATCTTCAGAATGCGCAAGGTCAATCCTTCTTCCATAATAGTCTGTAGGCCAATAGTGAAAAAGTGACGTATCGGTGTCAGGTAAGCTGGCAAAACCTCTTTTGTTATGTGTTTTGATGTGATAATCCATTCTGCTGGGTAGTTTAAGCCTTTTATAATGTCATCAAGATAACCAAAGCCAGTTTTTCTTCCCTTTTCTAATTTGAGATGTAAATTGTGAACCAAGGGAGCAATTTCAAACTTTAAAACACTGTAGGAAAGCTAATAAATTCCTCTACAAATGATATTAATACTGTTTTAGTAATTTTACCACTTTTAAGATAGAGACCATAAATTAGAGATAAACTCAATTTCCTCCACATTTTTATAAGTTTTACATTATATGGTGCTTAATCCAATCCAGATACTCACTTAAGTATATTAGGCAATTGTAGATTATTATTTTGCCTTTCCAATAAGCCACAGCATATTTTGATACATCACAGGTATAGCATCCCCAACTAAAGCCAAAAATTAAATAGCAAACCCCAAATCTCTCCCTCCCTCCTCCTTTTAAAAGATGCCTGCCATTTAGCCCCCTTCAAAAGCCCTGGCAAACAGGTAGTCCCTGCAGTGCCTCCTGAAGACAGAAGAAGAAGAAGAAGAAGAAGAAGAAGAAGAAGAAGAAGAAGAAGAAGAAGAAGAAGAAGAAGAAGAAGAAGAAGAAGAAGAAGAAGAAGAAGAAGAAGAGGAGGAGGAGGAGGAGGAGGAGGAGGAGGAGGAGATTGGATTTATACCCCATGGCCCTTCACTACCCAGAGGAGTCTCAGAGCGGCTGACAAACTCCTTTCCCTTCCCCTCCCCACAACAGACAGACACCCTGTGAGGTAGGTGGGGCTGAGAGAGCTCTGACAGAAACGGCTCTTTTTCAAGGACAGCTCTTGTCAGAACTACAGCTTGCCCAAGGTCATCCAGCAGCTGCAAGTGGAGGAGGAGTGGGGAATCACAACCCATTCTCCCAGATTAGAAGAAGAAGAGATTGGATTTATACCCCATGGCCCTTCACTACCCAAAGGAGTCTCAGAGCGGCTTACAAACTCCTTTCCCTTCCCCTCCCCACAACAGACAGACACCCTGTGAGGTAGGTGGGGCTGAGAGAGCTCTGACAGAAACGGCTCTTTTTCAAGGACAGCTCTTGTCAGAACTACGGCTTGCCCAAGGTCATCCAGCCAGGTGCAAGCGGAGGAGGAGTGGGGAATCAAACCCGGTCCTCCCAGATGAGAGTCCTCTGTGCACTTAACCACGACGCCAAACTGGCTCTCAAAGAGCCCCCCCCTTCAGGGAGCCCACTCCACCTTGCCAGAACCAAGGTGGAAAAGGGCCCCCCGGGCTCTGGTCAATGCCAGACGGACCACCCTAAGTGGTAGGATAGCCAACAGATGACTGCCTAATGCCCGTAGCTGGCACAGAGGGACATATGGAAGGTGACGGTACACTTTATGTATGAAAAACTTCTAGAAATCATACAGAGGTATCCAGAAAAACATTAAGCACACTGTCATAATTAGAATGGGTGTATTTCACACTACACACACTTTTTTGGCCATTATTGGTAAACGGTTTCAAGATATAGGATTGCAGAATTCTGCATTTAGTCAGGTACAGAGGCAGGGATTTGTGCATATAGTCAGGCACCATCACAGAAGGCTCAGTAGCTGAGGTAACTGATGATCATAAGTATATAGCCCTGCAGTTAAGCTTCACAAGATACTTTATGAAGTGCTCATGTGACTGGCGTGGCAAGGTTTGTAGTCATGGCCAATGTTCCTTCTAAGCTGTGGAGTCTCGTGAGCAAAAATTCTACTTTGTGAGTTCCTGGCATTAAAGTTGTGAGTGAGCGATTTGGCTACTGCATAAAATAGTTTGCTCTGGAGCCCTGCTTCCTGAGCTAAGACAAAAATGTGTGAGCTGGAGGCTAAAAAACTGTGAGCTAGCTCACACTAACTCAGCTTAGAGGGAACACTGGTCATGGCTGAAGGGACATTCATGGAGAAAACACTGAATATTTGGATGAAATGGTCAAATGGCCTAGAGATCTCCCAGAAGAATCCCTAATCTGCAGACTACAGATCTCGGTTCCCTGGGAGAAAATAGTGGCTTTAGAGTGTCAGACTCGGGCCCTTGGGATGTATTGATTTATTGTATTGCTAATGCTGGTTTCGCTTTTGTACCCTTGCTTCTTTGCTGGCACATCTGGTTTTGCTTTTAGCTTCTTATCTTATGCCCTCGCTGCCATGACATTCCTTTGCGGGGGAGTGAATGAGAGACTGATTGTCTGTAGTTGTAACTCTTCTTCAAGCAGCCCCCAAGGAGCTCTTGGGTTTTCACACGGGAGTGACCTTGGGTGAAGATAAGACTTTGAGACCGTTAATGAAGCTGGTGTGTGACATGTGTGTGGAATGTGGGCATGAAACTTTACTGTCCATCTCCCACTCTCCAGTCCTGACAAGGACGTTAACCTCTGCAGTTGACCAAATCTTTTCAATAAACTTCTTCAAGTAATATTGAGTCAAGAGTGGTTCCACTGAGAGTCTGACATAGAGAGTGGAGTCTCTGGCATCCTACCCCGCTGAGGTCCCTGCTCTCCCCAGGCTTCCCCCCCCCAGATCTCCAGGAATTTTCCAACCTGGAGTTGGCAAGCCTATGGCTGGCCAAAATCCTCCCATGCATACAGTAGCCACATCTGCACACCACTGGACATCCCACAATCACAGCACGCATTCACCACTGGATTATCCCACCTAGACGAGCCAATCCACTTGCAAGTGATGGCATTACAGAGCAAGGATTGCACAGGAACCGACACTGAGTGGGTGCAGCTGGATCCCTTATGTCACTTCCGGTTTGGCACAGGAGTGGCCGGGGATCCCTTCTCAGGCCAAAAAACCCGTAACCCTGGGGAAGGCCTCTGCTCAGAAGCTTCTTTCCATGTCTGAAGATGCGCCGTCTCAGACGGACGGAAGTCCCTGCAGTCGCCTGGCCGGGGCATTTTCGGTCTCTCTCTCTCCCCCTTCTAATTATAGAGTGCGGACCAGCCGACGCTGCTTAAAAACACAAGCTCTTCAAATAACAGCGTGTCAGCAACTTAATCCACAAGCTCAAAGAAGAGGCAGGCTGCTTACCCAACACCGGCAGTGACTAAGGAAGGAGAGAGAGAGGAGAGCAGGAGGCCAGCGGCTTTGCCCACAACCAGGAGGAGAAGGAGACAGAGGGACAGGTCCCCGGGGAAGAGCAGATATTAAGTCCGCCAAAGGGACCAGGCGCCGAGGTAACAGCTTTCCCTTGGGGGGTCACTGCCTTTTGAAAATGCAGGAATGGAAAGAAATAACCTCTCCGAGTCAGCCCAACCCATGCCAGACGTAGCCCTGCGGCCCAGCTGTGTCTCGGGGCCTCGGTGGGCACAGGAGGACAGAGGCCCCGGGGGAAAGGTTCAGCCTGGCGGCAACCCACTCTCAAGCAGGCTGTGGATGCTCCGTGAGCCCCACCATGGGGCGCCTTGAGGGCTTGGTGGAGCCATGGCACAGCGGCAGAGCCTCTGCTTGGCACGCAGAAGGCCCCCGCTTTGATCCCCAGCATCTCCCGTTAAAAGGATCAGCTAGCAGGGGATGTGGAAGACCTGGGCTGGAGAGAGGGTCGACGTCTATAGCTGTCAACCCCGCCCCCCAAAGGAACTGAGAGATGGTGGGGCCGGTGTGTTATGTCACTTCCAGTTTGGCACCTAATCAGCGAGTCCGAGAACATCACCCTGATTTGATGATGTCACATCTGGTTTGGCACCTATCTGGGCAAATCACAGAGCATTGCCCTGACAGATGCCCTCCCTACGTCTTCGTGGTACGTCCAAGCCTTGTGCCTTATAGGTCTCTGCAATGCATGTCTTGATTGCCGTGCCAATGGCCGATGTGGACATCTTTTGTCCCATGTTAGGAGATGAGATGTTGAACAGCGAGTCCGAGTGTCTGATGGACTCAGTACGAATCAGATAGGCTTTAAGAGACCTACGCACATCCAGTTTGTGCCAGGAAGCCTCCCTGGAGTGAGTTGGCAATGGACAGAATGAAGGAAGACAGATTTCCTGTGCCCTATGAAACACAACTTTATTTTTATGGAAGATGCACAGCTCTGACTTAATCGACAAGGTTCCGAGTTCAGAAATCCTTTCTCGTGACTGCCACGAGAAAGATAGTGTTCAAGCATAGCCATCGTAGGGGAATATCCATAATCGGTTCGAACGGAGGAGAAATCAACGCTGTCAGCACCGTGTGTAACCGCCATGTGGGGAAATGGTGAATTACAGGCGGACTCAAGAGATACCCCTCTCTGTCCAAGGGTCGTTCTCCCTCTGAGGCAGAGGACATCTTTGGGCACTCCCAAAGCAGTGCTCATGGTCTGGGTGGGTCATCGTCTTCATTTGGAATTACATGCTGCAACACTCGTCTGCTGAAGGCCGCATCCGCTGATGCATATAGGTTTAACTTGTAATGTTTGATGAAGGTAGAAAGGGACGACCACGTCGCGGCTTTATAGACCTCTTCCACTGAAGCGTTCTTGAGAAAGTCTGCGTTGGTTACGGTACTCCGCACAGAGTGTGCCAAACCGGAAGTGACATCACACATTGGCGCTGCGGCAAGGGTGGCGGGGGCTTTTTCTGGGGTGAGGGGTAGGCCGTGGGCACTCCGGGCACCGCAGCAGGGGTGACGGGGGTGGGGTGGGCTTTTTCTGTGAGGGCAGATCTGCTCATTCTCCCCAGACTGAGAGTTCCTATCTATACCTTGTGGCTAATAGCCACTGATGGACCTCTGCTCCATATCCTTATACTATTTTCCAGAGGTTTTTTTTCTGTGTGGATACTTATTTCCACCAACAGGGGGCTCACTCTCCCCCAACAGCTTTTCCTACATAGACTTCCTGGGTTTGTAGAAAAATCCAAAAACTAAAAAAATCCCTTCAGAGACTCTCAGTGATGTGTGTTTTCAGGTGCAGAAGGGCTGGATCTTGGAAAGAGGTTTTAAGGCCCCTGTCTCTGGCAGTCCTAAACCCGAACTGGGCCTCTGTGTGCCTGAAGGTTTTAAAAATGGGTGGGAGATCTGAAGGTGGAACGCTAGGCACAGACTTCGCTTAAAGGCACAGGGGCTTAAAGCCCATGAATGGAACTCGACAGAAGAAGGAGAGTGACTCATACGGAATGAGCAGGCCGCTCTCTAGGCCAACTACCTCGATGGGCAACAGTCGGCAAACACGCTCTGAGTACGGTGGTCTTGAAGGCATCTCAGAGTCAAACTGAGTTCCTCTTTTTGGCATTAGGAAAAAACCAACTCTTTCTCTCTCTTCTCCCAGAAATACTACTGGTAGTGCAAGGGGGCAGAAATCAGGTATGAACTGTGCCTCCAAGAACGACAGCAACCCGGAGAGCAAAACGCATTACCGGACACCGGCACTCTCCGAACTGCAGAGGCTGATATGGAGACGAGGAGGATCCGACAGCCACGTGGACCGAGTGTGGCCAAACCTCTATCTTGGAGATGCGTAAGGGAATGGATCTCAAAAAGGACACGGGAGAGCTGGGGGGAAAGTCCAGAGGAGGGCAACCAAGATCATTAGGGGGTTGGAGATCCTTCCCTAGGAGGAGAGGCTGAAGAGTCTGGGAAAGAGACCGTTAAAGGGAGACACAGCAGAGGTTAATAAAATTATGCAGGGGGTGGAGAGAGTTGACAAAATACTAGAACTCGAGGGCATTTGATGAAGATAATGGGCAGTAGATTCAGGGTGGACAAAGAAAACACTCCTTTATACAGAGAGTGATTAAAATGTGGAATTATCTGCCAGAGAGTGCAGTGATGGCCACGGGAATAAACAGCTTTAATAGGGGATTAGACAGATTAATGGAGTCAGTCGATGTTTATTGGCCACAGTGATTAAGTAGAACCTCCGCATTCAGAGGCCGTCAACCTCCGAATCCCAGAGCCAGGAGGCAACATCATGCCTTGTTGTTGGCCCTCCAGAGGAACTGGTTGGACACTATGTGAACAAAAAAATGAAGGAAATTGCTGCAGAGTTCACAAGTAATAAAGAGACAAAAATCAACTTGTTACAAATGACGTTGAGTGATGTTAGTACTTTATATTTTCATGTTTTCAGAACACAGGACGTCAAAAACTGAAGAAGAGCGTACGAACATCTCGAGTGGTTGTTCGTTTCGAGACAACTCTTTCTCAACCAAAATTCAGTTCTCTGGTTGTCTTATTATATTTAGCAGTGATGTCAATCTTATCCAACAACAGTTTTAACAGCACGTGGGCTAACAAGTTTCAAACACGGTTGCAATTTCCTTCATTTTTTTGTACATCTTTGAATTGCTGGTCCCCCTTGTATTTTTTTTTTTGGGGACACTATGTGAGACAGGAGGCTGGACTAGAGGGACTACCGGCCTTTTCCAGCAGGGCTCCTCTTATGTTCTTATGTTTATGTCCTGATGGGGTTGGGTGATTGGTAGTTACTCACCTACCAGACAAGGTTGCTTGCCAGCACTGGACAACCAGCGGCAGTCTTGGTGGGTGGGCTCACCTGCCTTGGCAGCCAGGCAGCTGCTCCTGATGTTGCTGTGGATCCCCAGACCTGATTCAGGTGCCTCTGCAGGCAATGCCGTTCTCCGCGCAGGGCGCTCCTCCTCCTCCTCAGACAGCTTTCCGTTTCCTCAAACTCTCTCTCCAGGGCCAAAAACAAACAAACACAACCTCTTTTCTCTCACAAATTACACTAGTGGGGCCAAATCCACACAGTTACACAAAACTGTTGTACTGAACCTGATGCCCATGTTTCTTTTTGTGTCTCTCAAGGGCTGCGATCAGATGTGCCGTTTGATCCGTTGCCATTGTTTTTCCCTTCCAGATTTTAAAATGCACGATCAGACAGCAACATCTGTCCATCATGCCCCAGTCGTCTGTGTCCCACCCCCACCCCCTCTTTACTGCATGTTTCTTTGATATTTGTGAAAGTCCAGTCCTTTTGGGCTTAGCTGGTTTCAAACCGGACTTCCTGTTGTCTGATCACTCTGTTGCACACCCAGGCCGTCAGGCAAGTCTGACTGGTCTCTTGTTTTCCAGCCACCATTTGTTTACTAGTTAGCGATGTGCACAGAACTGCATATTCACCCCCCCCCCCAACAGGGGCTTTTCAAAACTGTGTTTTCTTTACAAAAACTTTCAAAGAAACATGCCTATGTACGTCAGCTTTTTCCTGTGCTTTGGGGAAGGGGTTAATTGAAAAGATTAGAGGGGGAGAATGGCAGTGAACGACATACCCCAGCAGGCTCATCAGCGCTTGTGTGCATGCTCAAAGGACAAACTAAAAAAGAAGGTCAGTGGCCTCACTCCCTGGCTGCTGTGTCTGATCTACCAATGCCTTGTGTCTAATAGCCGCTGATGGACCTCTGTTCCAAATGCTTATCCAATACCCTCTTGTAACCGTCCATGCTTGTAGCCGCTGCCACCTCCTGTGGCAGTGAATTCCAAGTGTTAACCACTCTTTGGGTGAAGTAGGACTTCCTTTTATCTGTTCTAACCCGACTGCTCAGCAATTTCATTGAGTGCCCACAAGGAGTTCTTGTATTGTGAGAAAGGGCGGAAAGTTCTTCTTTCTCTACTTGCTCTATCCCATGCATAACCTTATAAACCTCGATCACGTCACCCCTCAGCTGTCGTTTCTCCAAGCTAAAAAGCCCCAAGCGCCTTAACCTTTCTTCATACGGAAAGTGTTCCAACCCTTTTATCATTCGAGTTGCCCTTTTCTGCAATTTCCCCAATGCTATAATGTCCTTTCTGAGGTGTGGTGACCAGAATTGAACACAGTACTCCAAATAAGGTTGCACCATCGATTTATACAGGGGCATCATGATCCATCATGCACTTTGAAAAAGGGGCTGCCTGACATGTTTCGTGTGCCACTGAAGGGGATGGATTTTGCCCATTGAAATTTTAAAAATCAAAATGGGCATCTCCAAGTTGCTAACGTCTGTTCCTCTAGACAACAGTCAGTTATATGAGCAAGACACAGAATTTGGGATGGACGGATACAGACTACGCAGATACAAGCAGGCTCAATTCTCCATGACTTCACAAAGAGGGAGGTGGTGGCACTTTACTTTCTGCTATTCAGGACTGGGAAAGGGAAGCACTGAGCCAGGGGGCCGTTTGTGCGCCCTAAAGCTAGGTGGCCAGATGACAGACACACACTATGCCCTGCCCAGAATACTCCTTTGAAATCTGAACATTCTCCAGTCTTAAATTAGATAAAAGTATATCACACCCACATCACTAATTTGTCCACTTGACAGAACCCATTCTAAATTACATTGTACTCAGCCCTCCATGAGCAAAGCTGGAAGTCTTAAACTAGAGACTGGAATTAGAGGTCACAGAGTGGAATGACAGCCCCGGGGGGTGGGGGGGTAGCAGAACCATTCTCTGGCACCCGGGGCTGGGGGGAGGCGTCTGTGCAAGTAGCCCTGAGGGAGCAGGGGATCATGGGGGTTCCCAAGAGCCCGGGGCCTTATCCGGTTTAATTTTTATGGCTGCCGCCATTTTCTGATTGTAATAGGTCCATTCATAATCTGTCGTGCAATCTTGAGTAAATTTTGTTTTTTAATATAATTATCTATTTTTTCCAGTGAAATATCATGACTCTTATATAAATCTGAATAATACTGGGGGGGGGGACTTTTTGTATGGCCGCAGTATCTTTTAACATTTTTATTTCCTTGTCTTTTCAGTATTATTTTCTTTTCTCTTTCCTTTTGCAGTTTATATACCAACCATTTCCCCGGTTTATTTGCAAATTCAAAATTTCTTTGTTTCATACAATTCAATTTTGTTTCCTTTTTTCTTACCGTTAACATAGATAATTGTTGTTGTAGCACCTTAATTGGCTGAGGAATACGTTTATTCCCTGGTAATGTCCTTCTTTTTTCCCTTTTTTTCTCACCCAAAACCTTTTTTATACCTTCTCTTGTTTCTTTCTCTTAAGTTGGGTGTTATGTTGTATCAAATGACCTATGATGTTCTGAACGGGACCAGGACCCAAACAGAGAGTTTCGCTACATGGAGGAAAATATGGTATAGATGTCTTTCCAGAGGCTCAATTTTCCTTCAAAAGCCCTTTTAAATGTATTTACATGCATTTGTTTATTTATATCTTGCTTTTCTCCCCCACTCGGATTCAAAGTGGCTTAAAACATTGTTCTACTGTCTTCCATTTTCTCACAACAATCCTGTGAGGTAGGCCAAGCTGAGAGTTTGTGACAGCCCCAAGGTCACCCAGCAAGATCCCATGATGGCGGAACTGGGGATCTGAAGCCAGGCCGACCAAGTCCGCCACCCTCATCTGCTAGACCCCACTGGTAACCTTTGGTTTAAATTTCATCTTCATGATATTTTGGCAGATGGGCAGCTAGAAGCAAGACCGTTCTTCAGGAACTGGGCATCACCCACATCCTGAATGCAGCAGACGGACCGTACAATATCAACACTGGCGCTCGATATTACAGGGACCTGCCCGTTGAGTACTATGGGGTACAGGCCTTCGATGATACCTCCTTTGATATGAGCATCTTCTTCCAGGACGCTGCTGATTTCATGCACAAAGCCTTAAAGACTGGAAAAGGTAAGGGGAGCGGGTTAGGGCGGTGAGGGCCTTCCCCAGCCGCTAGTGAAGTTATGCTTCGTGCCAAAGCTGGGGTCAGAGCCAGTGTAGCGTGGTGCTGAGTGTCAGACTAGAACCTGGCAGATCCACGTTCAAATCCCCTCTCTTCCATGGATGCTTGCTGGGTGACTTTGGGCCAGTCACTGTCTCAGCCTAACCTACCTCACAAGAACAAAGTTTGAGTCCAGGGGCAACTTTAAAGACCAACAAAGCTTAATTCTGGGTATACGCTTTTGCTTGCGTGTGAGATTTATAGCTGAGGATAGGTCAGAGTTCAAGTTATCTCTGCTCTTTTTCTTGCTTTGTGTTTTTGTCATTTCAGTAATGCTGGGGCAGCTTCCACAAGTAACAGCCCCGACAGCTAACTATTCCTGGAAGCTGAAACCTCAGCTGCAGCAAAGTACAGTGGATTGTAAAGTCTTACCTATAAATCAGGGCAGTCCGTCTTATGCTGACTCAGTTCTTGCCTTGAAAATAGTCGCATAAAACAAGCCAAAAAGATAAGAAAAGGCCTCTAAAAACCTTCCCAGAGCTCCAGAGATGGCATCCGGGCCAGCCTCCACCCTGACCAGACGTCTGGCGGGGGTGGAAAGTGCCGTCAAGTTGCAGCCGACTTTGGGTTCTCAAGGCAAGAGGGAAGCGGAGGCAATTTGCCCCTGCCTGCCTCTACACAGCGACCCTGGACTTCCTTGGTGGTCTCCCATCCAAGGACTACCCAGAGATGATGAGATCAGGTCACAGTATTAAAAAAAAATACCTCCGGCCACTTTCGATGATCATAGCCAGGGCTATTTTGGGGCAGGAATGAACAGGAACGGAGTTCCGCCTAGGCTGGCTCCCGAGTTGGCCACACCCAGCAGGAACTCATTAGCATAACAGGCCACACCCGACAGCAGGAACTCATTAGGATTGGCTACGTTAGGGGTGTGTGGCCTAACATGCAAAGGAGTCCCTGCTCCTAAAAAAAAAAGCCCTGGGTTTGGACAACAAACAAGGTCAACAGAATAAGAAGCAAAAGGTGGGTGTGGTTGGATGACCACACTTTTGGCAACACGGGGCTGCGGCCTAATATGCTAATGAGCTGTAGTGGCAGGGTGTGGCCTAATATGCTAATGAGTTTCAGCTGTTGGGTGTGGCCAGTTATGCTAATGAGTTCCTGCTGGGCTTTTTCTACAAAAAAAGCCCTGATCATAGCTAAGGTGCCATTTGCTGGGTCAGTATTTGAGAGTGGTTTTCATTTGCTGCTGTCGGAGGGTGACAACGGAAGGAAAGGTTCTTCCAGCATTTCCCAGAAGCTACATCCAACAGCACCCATGGAGGATAAGCCACAAGGGTTTTTCCTCGTTGTAGTGACTTGTGTTGCTGCAGCAGTAACAGATTCACTTCCCAGCATGGACACTGTGGAAGGAAGGAAGGCTTTTGTGTGAACAGAACAGAAGTTTATTATAACAGTCATAGACCAAATAAAAATAGTTTTACACATTGCTAAGGATAAAATACAAATCTGCCTTAAATATACTACTAAAATATACACTGTTGAATATATCATTTACAATATCTCAATTAAAAAAGGCTCTTGTGTGCTTCTTGCCTAGCCAGGTGCTGCTCTCTTCTTGTTTCTCTGCAGGCAAAGTGTTTGTACACTGCGCTATGGGGTTAAGTCGCTCGGCAACTTTAGTGCTGGCTTACTTGATGATCCATGAAAACTTGACACTCGTGGAGGCCTTAAGAGCAGTCGATTCACACCGAGGCATCTGCCCGAACACAGGATTCCTCAGCCAGCTCCGGGCCTTGGACATTAGATTAAATAATGAGAGAAACGGTTTCCCAGCACTGTGACAAAGAGATGATGAAGTAACACTGCAAGGATCAACGGAGGTAGTCTGTGGGGTGGTCACCAGCTCGTTTCGCGTTTTAACTTAGTTCCAGGATCTGGAGCAGTTCCGGGCCAGGTTTTACTCAGGTCTCTGGATGAACTGGCTACTGGAACTGCTATGAAGTATTCTGGTAGGCCAGAGTTCCCCAACATGGCACCAGCAACTAACCCTAACCTTTCCTGGCACCCACCAAGTGTTGTTTTTTTAAATAAATGTGTTTATTGATTTTGTCAATAACAGAGATACAACATCATAGAAGTATGTTTCAATAACACTCAGAGGACTAAGTCCATATCAGTGAGAAACTAAGCCTTACAACTAAGAGATACAGTACGTAAGAACATTGGTCTACAGAAATAGAGTAATAAGAATGGCAAACGTTGACTTTTTCCCATCCAGCAAATGAACTAAACCTTCACATTCGTCTCAACCCCCTAATTCCAAATTTGAAGCTATCTGGTTTCCAATTTTCACATATCTCGTTGCACATGACATACTACCTGCAAACCTAAATCACCAAGTGTTTTTTAAAAGTTGGCGGGTCTAGGAGGGGCTCTGATTGGCTATGTGGATTAAAACAACACTTTCCAGGGCCAGCTGCCACCGCAGTATTTGCCACATCCCATTTCCCAGGGCCTTTTTAGTCGCCTCTCTTCTCCCCCTACACTTGGGCTTCTCCTCTGTGTTTGTGGCTCCGCCTCATGCGGCGGCCATTTTGCAGCCGCGCCCACCACCCTGTGTCAGGATTCCAACTGGCTCAAGAAACTTTGGGGACCTCTTAGGCCTTGTGTTCCTTCGTCCGCTTCTCCTGGATAAAGTTACTAAACGTTTACTAAAAAGACCGGCAGCATCTTCCTGGATTATTTCAGCATCTGACAGTCTACACGGCTAGTTGCTGGCACACCAGTACGTGGTTATGAAATAATAATTTAACCAGCAAAACCAGGAGTCCCATATCTGTGCCATTTTATGCAATCGTGTGAGAGTTGGGTGTCCTCTACACTATGGCTGCGGTCACACGCCCAGTTTGTGATGCTACAGTAGTGCTACCTGAGTGGAATAAATGGGCCCCTCCAGATGAGAACATCTGCCTCCTGTGGCGCAGTTGTCGGCAGCCCATGTTGTCCCGCAATGGAAGTGGAATAAACAGATACCGGGGAAAGTCCAGTACTAATGGGTTGTTAGGGGCTCTCTCCAAGTTTTCCAGTGTCTGAATTCTCCTGCAGCGAGAGGAACCCAGAAGGGATATCTGAACTTGCAGATCCATTGCTGCCACTGCTTTTTTAGTTGTTGCCTATACGTGCACATCCATCCACTTGCATTTAAATAAAACCCACCTTTATAGCTCATCCCGTGGTTGAAGCACAACACTAATGTGGATGCTCCCCACAAGACGGATGCACGGGTAACCCGCCACAGGGATGAAATGTTCCACCATGCTTTGAACCGGTACAGTTTGAGGTGCCACCATACCACACCAAGCTGCCAGTGTGTCCGCAGTCTATGTTCTAGCCTTTTAATCCTGAATATATCCTTCTGCTATGGAACCCTGAAATGGGAGCCCCGATTTAACACCACCCTTTTTCAAACCTGGAGCCTTGCCGATTTCACACACCTTAAAATCATTTGATAATGGGGGGGTGTGTGTCATATTTTTTGTAAAGATGTACAGAGTATTGAATGTTTTATTCAATATCGATTCACATGTTATCAGTCTGATTCTCTTCAGTATAATTTTTCAAGGGAAAAGTCCTTGGAATAATGTAACTTATTTTTGTAAGTGTGGCTTGGGCATTCAAGAAATATTAACTGAAAGAAAATTGTCTATTCACTTTACAGCTGGTGTGCCATTCGTAGCCCTGACCTGGAAGAAGTCTGGGATTAAGGAATGCCAGAGAGCCACAGTTAAAGAGAAGGGCTCCCAGCTTGGAGAAGGCACTTAAAGGGACTGCAAGATCATTAAATGCCTTCAGAAGGTGTGCAAAGGGACTGTGATCCCTTTAAATGCCTTTCCCCCATCCCCTGGAAACAACGGAAGTTGGGGGTATCTTCTTTGAAGGCCCATAGAATTGGACACCATGGTCCAGTCTTTTGGAAACTTGGGGGTTCTTTTGAGGAGAGGCATCAGCAGCTAAGCTGCAAATTTGGTGCCTCTACCTCACAAACAGGGCCCCCAACCCCTTGGATACCCCCCCGGATCTCTATGGGATCCATTGCCTATAATGGAGCCAAAGGAATTGGGATTCCCAGAAAACCCCAAATCCAACTACCATACCAGTATTGGAATTTGGGAATATTGGGAAATACCAATAGTTTTCAGGTCCAATGCACCCGAACCTGGAAAATCCCAATGTGTTTTTTCTGCCCACCCTTACAAACCACCTTTGGAGGCCTCTTTCCTTGGAAACCCTACAGGGTTACCATAAGTCAGCTGCAACTTGATGGCACTTTCCACTCACGCACACACCCACAACATACCTTATTTGTAATGGAACCAGCCTGGTAGCTAGGGATTTTTTTGTGAGGGGGCCTTGGGGGGGGTGCCAGCTAATGAAATCAGGGGGTCGCTTCCCTCCCCCCAGCAAGAGCAGCCCTCCCCCTGTGGAGCATCTGGCTCCCTCCCTCCCTCCCTGAGGAGGCCCAGTTCCCCTTCCCACATTGCCACACCAGGGGCAGCCCGACCTCCACCCTCGGCTCCCTCCCGGGGCCAGGTGAGGTGAGGCGTACGGTGGCTAGGCTGGGCACAAAGGTGTGGCGTGTGGGCGCACTGGTGCGCAGGAGCACAGGAGCACAGCCGGGTGTGCCTGGCCAGAGCCAGACAAGGCGCCCACTTGCCTACTTGCCTTGCCTTGCTGGGCTTACCTGCTGCTGGCGGGCCAGGCAGCAAGCATCTCTCAGCCCGGACTCGCTGCCTCTGCTGCTTCTTGTGCCATTGCTGCTGCTTGTGCTGCTCTCATCCTCCCCACCGACAAGGCTCAGGGAAGGAGGCCCATAAAAACTACTAAGGGGGAGGGCCCCATGGGCCTCGCAGTAGCTACGGGCCTGAATGGAACTATAAACAATTTCATTCTGCTGATAATGGTTGTGCAGGCTACTGGCTCTAGAGCACTTCACAGTGATTATGTCACAGCTGAGGGAGAAAGACCAGCTACTAATATCATTACATTTATCCACACTAAGGGGGGCTATTTTTCTCCAGCTGCCCTTGAGCTCTTTCAAGCAAAGACACTCTCTAAGTCATTATATGGAACATTCCTAGGTCCTTCCGTTTTGTGTTCCACTCCTCTTGAATAGGTGCAATCAAAGTTTCTGAAAGCAGTCTTGCAAGTTCCCAGATGTATCTAAAAGTCTATGATCTGTCTGGAGACAGGGTCACTAAAGGTAGCCACCAGAATTTCACTAACTTTTCTCTTTTGATGGCTTAAGATAAACTCTAACCCTCATGGCTTCCTCCCACTTATCTTACAGGATGACTGTCTCAAGGCTGTCTCAAGGCTACTCAACTGAAAATCACTGAGCTTGGATCTTCCTCATCTGTTCTCCTTCAGATGGGTGGAGATCAATGTTCCCTCTAAGCTGAGTTAGTGTGAACTAGCTCACAGTTTTTTAGCCTGCAGCTCAGACATTTTTGTCTTAGCTCAGGAAGGATGGCTGCAGAGCAAACTCATTGATGCAGTGGGCAAATCACTTGCTCACAACTTTGATGCCAGTAACTCACAAAGTAGAATTTTTGCTCACAGGACTCCACAGCTTAGAGGGAACATTGGTGGAGATATAGCCAGACATGTTTTGAGGCAGAGAGTTGAAGATATCGAACACCAGCATTGCAAGATCTCCTAATTATATTGTAGCACCTGATAGATGCTAACTCTCTACTCTGGCTACTTATTTATGCATTCTAGAAAATAATAACAAAAAAAGAGCTTTCTCTCTTGCTAGATTTTCCGCTTTGCCATCAACAATTATCGAGGGCAGATACCGTAGGATCCCTTGGGCAGAGAGACTCTGCCCCTGCAACTGCGGAGAGATAGAGATGACGGTGCACGTGTTCCTTCGATGCCCCTTTTACAACGGGATTTGTTCTATATATATACTTTCCCATGACTTCAACAATCTACAGATACTTTTGACTCAGCTAGCATCAATTCGCTTCTGTCCATCATACGTATTGAGACAAGTTACTTGGCGAGTAGCCAAGTTTTGCTCTCAAGCAATTAAACTTTGTTCTATTCAGATCTCACCAGGCAATGAAGATGGAAAAACTGATTGTGACATCTAATACCTTAATCCAGACTTACTTTATCGGGGATTTGGCAGCCTTCCTTCTACATTTGCTGTAAGTTTAGTTATAAATGTTAGAAGATGTACATTGGCCTGACATTCCTTGACCTGACTGGACTGGGAGGATTATTTTAATATTGCAAGTTAGTGTTTGTCCTTGTTGCCAGGTACTAGTGAAAAGATTTGTTATATTTTATATTTTGGTTGTTTTTATCATTAATTTTATTATTCTGGTCATGGACTGTAATAAAGATTTTGACTTTGACACCTTTGGACGCCTCATGCCTTGAACACCTTGCAGGGTCACCGTACGTCGGCTGCAACGTGATGGCACTTTCCACCCCCAACCCCTCCCCCCACCCATACCCCATTTGTGATGGAACTATAAACAATTTCATTCTGCAGGTAATTCTCTCAAGTGAATGAGTGCGTCAAATTCAGCGCAGTATGTTGGTTTTTTTCTGTGTTTCTTATGACATTAAAATCTAATGAAACAAAGCAAAATCAAAAGATGGATAGTTTTTTGTTCTTGCATGTTGGCGATAAGCATTTTGTTATGTGCTTTATAAGAAGAAGAAGAGTTGGTTTTATACCCTGCTGTTCACTACCCAAAAGAGTCACAGACACCCTGTGAAGTTGTCAGGATCTTGGTTAAATCAGTTCTCAACACCAGTCAGTCTGAAGAAAGCTAACTTTATTGAGACAGTTGACAGATACCATTCTGGACACATCTATTGTTAGGACCGAAGTTGAACGCGCAAAAGTTGTAGATATGGTGGATTCAAGTAAAGGCACTAAAGATCGGGACCCAATCACCCCACGGTATTTGCCCACCAGAACTGTCACCTCCCCCCCCCCATAGGCACATAGCCTCACATAGCAAGGAAAACAGGATCACAGACATTTGAGAAGACAGGACACTTGGCACCGCTAAGGTGACAAGCCCTGGGCACATCAAAGAGAGAGAGAGGAACCTCCTCTCTCAATGGCAGGCGAGCCATAAATTGCAAAATGTATACAGGGAGCCTGACAGAATTAGGTGGGGCTGAGAAAGCTTGGAGAGAACTGTGACTGACCCAGGGTCACCCAGCTGACTTCATGTGGAGGAGAGGGGAAATCAAACCTGGTTCTCCAGCTTAGAGTCCACCGCTGTTAACCACTACACAACACTGGCTCTCTTGATAGTGTTCCAGAATATACATAATACTTATTTACATGCAAAAATGCCTGTTCTTCAAGTGAGTATCTCTGTCAGAGGGGTTGGAGCAGATGCGACTATAGTGTAGGGCTTGGCTATACACAATGGATTGTTTGATGTGTAGAGTCATTCACAGGACTTCTACCCCACCATCAATCTAACTATGAATTAATCTACACAATGAATAAACTTCCTGGATACCACAGTGCAGATACACGAGGGACACATAAGTACCACATTATACCGGAAACCGACAGATCAGCAAACATATCAGCATGCCTCCAGCTATCATCCCAACCACATCAAACAATCCATTGTGTATAGCCAACCCCTCAGACAGATACTCACTTGAAGAATCTACAACAGACATTTTTGCAACAACAGTTCCCTCCTCATACGGTGAGAAAGATGATTGGAAAAGCCAGAATGATACTCAAGGACAGCTTGCTACAAGACAAGCCCAAAGAAAATGACAACAGAACACCACTGGTGGTCACCAGCAGCTCACAACTCAAGCCAGCTCAACGCATTATTAATGACCAACAACCGATGCTGGAGAGTGCCACTTTCCACACACAGGGACTGGGGGGGGGCAACCTTTTCTTGCGTACAGACAGCCTGCTAACCTTAAACAACTCCTCACCCATAATGACAAACTACTTAACGGCAACATGGAGTCTGGTACCAAGGCCTACAACAAACCAAGAGGCCAACGTTGCTCTCCTATAGACCCTAGCGACACCATCAGTGGACCCAGCAACATCAGCCAGACCATCTCAGGTTCCTACTCCTGCTCATCCTCTAATGTGATTTATGCCATCAGATGTTAGCAGTGCCCTTCCAACTCTCTACATTGGACAAACAGGACAGTCCCTTCGACAAAGAAGTAATGGACATAAGTCCACAACATTAAAAAAACAGTGAGGGAACATTTTCACCCTTCAGGAAGTTCAGTTGCTGACCTAAGAATAGCAGTTAATTTACAAAGGAATTTCAAAGGGAGATTAGAGAGACTGCCGAATTGCAACTGATCATGAAGCTCAAAACAACGCATCCACCTGGACTGAATCGAGACCTAGGTATCCTGTCTCATTACCAATGCTGATTTCTCCACACCTACTACCACTCAGCATATCACACCTAATCCAATAACACCTTCTATTGTCATTTGCCTGCTAATGTCATTTGGCATCTAAAATCACTCTCCTTTCCACTATATAGGACAGATGGACTCACATTCTAACTGTATCTGAAGAAGGGAGCAATGTCTCACGAAAGCTCATCCCCTACCGCAAATCTTGTTAGCCTTTAAGGTGCTGCTGGGCTATTTTCTACAAATATAAGTAAAAATGCCAAATTAACACTCTATTATTGCAACTAAATATTAATTCTCTTTGTCGTGGTACTTACATTTTTTCCTTTTTCCTAAATAATCAAATCCACAAATCATCAGTTCATTTTTTCCCCATTTCATGCAAAAAGTCTATAAGGGGTTTCCAGTTGGCAATAAAAGTAGATAATGTGTTTTCTCTGATCAAAAGCTATCTCTACAAATTCCATCATCGTCACCAACCACTCCTCTTTCGTAGGTAATGTTGAATTTTCCCATTTTTGTGCATATAGTAATCTCGCTGCCGTTGTCATGTATAAAAACAAATTTCCATGACTTTTCCCCAACTGTCTCTCCATTAGGCCCAGAAGAAACACCTCTGGTTTCATCTTTAAAACCTTCTGAATTAAAGAATATATTTGCATCCAATTTTTTTTTGCCTTATTGCAAGTCCACCATAAATGATAAAATATCCCTTCATATTGTCCGCATTTCCTTACATCTATTTGAGATGTTTTTGTACATTTTAGCTAATTTCTCCGGTGACACGTACCATCAGTACATCGTTTTATAAAAACTCTCTTCAGGACTATAACTTAATGTAAATTTAAGACCTTCCTTCCACATATATTCCCATTGCTCCATTTGTATATGATGTCCAACATTTTTGCCCATTTGCCCGTTCACTCATTCCTCCTCGGTCTCGAATTTCAAGAGCAGTTTATACATTTTAGCAGTAATGGTTCCTTGGATTTTCCCTTTGGAAGTTAACTTTTTAAAGTTTTAAAAATTTTAGTAAACTAAAAAAAAATAATTGTGTGCAAACCTAGGAGCTTTCCCATGTGCATACAAGCATTCCCCAGTCACCTAGCCCCAGTGTGCAGGTTTTTCAAACCACACTCCATGGATAAGGTTTGGAATTGGATGTATGATATAATAAAATGGGATTTTATTTAGGCATTAAATTTAATGCTGTAAAATGTACCCAAAACTTCTAAGCGAGCATTTTGTACACACTTTTATTCCTCTGCTAGACATGAGGCAGTAGAAATGCTTATTCTGTCTTGCAAGAATGTTTGCATCCTGAAAATCTGAAGCGTTGCTCATTGAATGAGCAGTTGCTTATCCACAGTGCCCCTTCTTTAGGACATTCACTAAGTAAAACCTAATCAGCCTTTGGTAGGAAGGATGGGGAAACAGATAAGGTGTTATTATCCCCTGGCACCAGCAGATGTCAGTATAAACCCAGGACTGAAATAACCGGAGAGGAGCTGTAGAAACCTTATCAGGTTTGGAATTATAGGTGTCTACACTTCTTTTGAGGTGCTCCCCTACTGGCTGGCAACAGCACTAGAATTAAAGTAAAGGGTCACGTTAGGGGTGTAGTCCTGTACTCAGAAACACTTTAAAAAGTCATTTCTGGAGGGCAGCATTTTGTACTGCCTGCCTATGGTTTCTTAGTGGAACTGTGAGATCATTTCTTTGCCATAAACTACGGCACAGGGAATCCATGGCACTCTCAAGGTACTCAGGTGAAACAATCGGCATATACATCTGCCAGGTCTCTGTTTGAAGCACCTGTGCCTTTATTGCTCATTAAATCCCGCAGTCAAGAGTATCCCCTTCTACCAGCTCAGTCCCTGATGGGGCTAGAATTTGCTTCCTCTTTGCTGTCTCTTTGATGCCTCGTTCTGGACCTTTACCGGAGGGGGGGGGGGGGGGGGCAGCAGCAGAGAGAACTTAACCTCGTGGTGTCAGCCAGGATGACCCGACCAAAGCGGACTCGCGCTCGCTGAGAATCCTATCGGCTCCGGGCTCCTCTCCACAGCTGCTCCAGCTGCCTTTCACTCAAATATCTGGAAGCCTGCTAGGAGAACGCGGATCATGGTTTATAATTAACACAAATAAAAATAGCATTTGAATAAACTAGATGCAGGGAACAGGGCAAGGAAGCGGTTGTGCAACGGCCAGCCCAGGAAGAAGCACCAGAGGGGGGCTTCATCCTCTGGAACGGCCGCCAACGGAGCTGCTCCCCACCCCCCACAAAGGCAAGTACTTTCTACGGTTGTTTACAAATCGATACGCCCCGGATTTGTTGGGAGGTTGCAATGTTTGTCGCATGAGCCATCGAGCAGCAAATGTGCATGTGCCTGCCGTGTTGTGCCTTGGGTACCTGAGTCAAGCAGCCCCCGGGGCAGAGGCTTGTCTTCCCAATGGATCACCTGGGCAATTGCCCAGGGCCCTGAGCTGGGGGAGGACAGTAGAAAGTGGTGGTTTCGTCTTTAATATGTGTATATATATATATATATTTAAAATTGGGGGAACAAAGAAAATGGTGGTGGAAAATAAAGGCAAAAGGCAAACTGTGGTGCACTTTGAAAGGGAATTGTGAATACTGGCCCTGGCACTACTTAATGTTGTCCACTGTTCCCTCTAAGCTGAGTTAGTGTGAGCTAGCTCACAGTTTTTTAGCCTCCGGCTCACACATTTTTGTCTTAGCCCGGGAAGGATGGCTCCAGAGCAAGCTAATCTATGCAGCAGCCAAATCGCTTGCTCACCACTTTAATGCCAGGAGCTCACAAAGAAGAACTTTTGCTCACAGGACTCCACAGCTTAGAGGGAACATTGGTTGTGACCCGCCCTGAGCCCGGCTGTGGGGGATGGTGGGATATAAATAAAATTAATTAATTAATTAATGTTCAGAGCGGGTCCCAGAATCACAAACACTGCCCCTGCCCAAAGAATGGTGCAGATGAGGAAGGTGAAAATGTCCGTACTGATGTCAACCAGCCAGCCAAGTATCTGGCTGCAGTCCTCTAACATGACTGGCGTTTCAAAAAGTTTTGTTTTGGTTTAAATGACAACCTCGCTTAGTGTGAGCTAGCTCACAGTTTTTTAGCCTCCGGCTCACACATTTTTGTCTTAGCCCGGGAAGGATGGCTCCAGAGCAAGCTAATCTATGCAGCAGCCAAATCGCTTGCTCACCACTTTAATGCCAGGAGCTCACAAAGAAGAACTTTTGCTCACAGGACTCCACAGCTTAGAGGGAACATTGGTTGTGACCCGCCCTGAGCCCGGCTGTGGGGGATGGTGGGATATAAATAAAATTAATTAATTAATTAATGTTCAGAGCGGGTCCCAGAATCACAAACACTGCCCCTGCCCAAAGAATGGTGCAGATGAGGAAGGTGAAAATGTCCGTACTGATGTCAACCAGCCAGCCAAGTATCTGGCTGCAGTCCTCTAACATGACTGGCGTTTCAAAAAGTTTTGTTTTGGTTTAAATGACAACCTCGCACGTGAGCAACTGAAGTCACATCCCGAAATCCAGCAATGTTGTTGGAACCTTGAGATCCAAAATCCAGTTTTTGAACGCTTAGTTTTTTATATCCAGATCTCTAGCATGCAGAGGGAATATCTGAGAACCCGAAAGAGAATCTCCCCCAAGAATTAACTTTGCTCTATATTTGGCAAGGTGGTTGTAATGGTTTTTATGAGACTCCTAACCTCTTCTGAGGTGTGATTTGGAACGCTAGATTTAAATGCAGTTCTTTGTTTTGGGGACAAGGATAACAGTCTACACAGCCAAGATGCTGTAAAATTCACCTCCATGCTTGAAAGGAGATGGATGGGGGGGTCTAAAGATGAGACTCTCACAAATTAGGGCACATCCGTCTCCACTTCTAACATATTTATTACCTATGTTGTCCCGTCCCCCCTCCCAGTTGAACCAAAACAGATGATAACCAGGAACTAAGCTTGTCATTCTTTTGATCTGTTAAAGAAAGGTGTCCTCACTATTTTGCATGCTAATTTAGCAAACCACTCCTATATATACAACTATGATCTGTAATTCCATTGCATCGTCTGACAAAGTGTACATGCACACGGAAGCTGACACCTTGAATAAAACTTTGTTGGTCTCAAAGGTGCCCCCACGGGACCCTAACTTTGTTCTATTGCTTCAGACAAACACGGCTACCCACCTTGAACTGTTCTGAGGTGATGTGTGTTTATGCTGCCTCCTGGCCTTCCTTAGCATTTCTTACTTATTTTTGCTGCCACCAAAGGCTCTTGCCTTAGAATGTCTAGCTGAATTCAAAGAACAGGATGGTTTAGTCATATTAGGTAGAAAGAATGGTAAATGTGTGCAGGTAGTTCTGAGGTAAAAGGGGGTCCTTTCGTCTAAATAAAAGTTGTTTTCTCTTAAACATAGAGCTTATTAGAAGTATAACAGCGTAACAGTTTCAGTATGGTTGATAAGGGTAATGGTTTCAGATAGGTATGTAAGCGTAACAGTTTCAGGTAGTTACGGTTCTTTTTTTCTCTACTGTTCCTTAAACAGATGTAGCCACAAATGCTGATTTTCTCACTTGCCACTTAGGCTAATAACTTGCACAAAGCTTAGTTTTCCTAACTTGCCACCCAGGCTAATAACTTCTGCACCGAACACAGATTTCTCTCACACTCTACAGCACCTCTCTCAAGGTCTTCTTCTCTCACACAAGCTCTGAACTCTCTCAGTCAACTCTGCCCCTCATCACACACTTCAATAACCACCCACAAACCCTTCCTTACTCAAGAGGCCTGCATTTTAAATCACCACAACCTACATATAGAACCCCATATGCAATCACAGAATAAAACACACACAAACTATTTACATGTATGTAATCTTTGGATGAGCTGAGACCCATAATGAATATTCAGGATGGGATTGTACCATCCTTACCAAATAGGAAATTGATTTATTTTTAACCTATGAAAGAAGGGATGGTCTTCAGGTATAAGATAATAGAAAGACAATGTTGAAAAACCAGAAGCTTAACCTGGTTTCTGATCATTATCTATCCTTGTACCACTCCCCCAGTATAGACACTTATGCATGCAGCTCATGTTATCTCGGTGTTTATTTTTAGTAAGAAACAATGGGCTTTGGGTACTTGATATTCTTGTGAAATTTATGTTCCCCATCTTCCCAGCTGGACGCTTTCAGGAATAATCTTGTATAGGGTTGTTTTCCTAATGAAGAGAGGGAGGGGTAAAAACGTCTGTCCAAGCGCTCTAGTGCAAGTCACGTATATGTGACCTACACAAACAATGGGCCTTCACAGGAGGCTTTTAAAATAACTGACTCAGCTGAAGACCTGGCAACTTTACTGTGGTATCAGTAGTAATAAAATGGACTGTGACTTTCCCCCACAAGAGGGAAGTAGAGGTCTTTCACATCACCTTCTACTTAGCCCTTTTAACTGGGGGGATTGAACCTGGGACCTTCTGCATGCAAAGCAGAGGCTCTGCCACTGACCCAAGCAGCGTTCCCTCTAAGCTGAGTTAGTGTGAGGTAGAAACTCATTAGGTAGAGGTAGAAACTCATTAGGATTGGCTACCATTAGGGGTGTGTGGCCTAACATGCAAAGGAGTCCCTGCTACAAAAAAAGGCCCTGGGTTTTGACAACAAACAAGGTAAACAGAATAAGAAGCCAAAGGTGGGTGTGGCTGGATGACCACACTTCTGGCAACACGGGGCTGTGGCCTAATATGCTAATGAGCTGTGGTGTCAGGGGCTGTGGCCCGATATGCTAATGAGTTTCAGCTGTTAGGTGTGACCTATTATGCTAATGAGTTCCTGCTGTTTTTTTCCTACAAACAAAATTCCTGGAGAAAGGTATTGGCTGGATATTAGGAAAAATATTTTTCACAGTCAGAGTGGTTCAGTGGTAGAATCAGCTGCCTAGAGAGGTGATTAGTTCCCCTTCACTGGCAGCTTTCAAGAAGAAGCTTGATGAATATTTATCAGAGATGCTTTAGGCTGGTCCTGCATTGGGCAGGGGGTTGGACTAGATGGTCTGTATGGCCCCTTCCAACTCTATGATTCTATGATTAACCACTACACCATGCTGGCTCTAATGAACTGGCTCTTCTAACCTTCTAAGAAACATCAAATTACATAGGCATTTTACTGCATTGATCAATCCCCTGATGTTACTTAGGACCAAATCCATGATCGCCTCTCCCCTGGTAGGTTCTGTGACCATCTGCTCAATAGCACAGTCATTGAATGTCTAGAAACTCAATCTCTTTTTCTTGACTTGAACTCATATTGACCCAATCAATGTGTGGGTAATCACCTATTATGACACAGTTATTTTGTCTAGCCACTATCTTTAATTCATTCATGATTTTCTAATCCTCCTCTATCTTTTGATCTGGTGGATAATAACAAACTCCCAGTGTTAAGCTTCCTTTTGGGCCCACTATTTCAACCCATAGCATTTCCAGAAGTGAATCCAATTCTCTTACCTTCTCAGTCTTACTGGACTGTATACCCTCTCTGACATACAGAGCCACCTCACTTCCAACCCCCCCCCCATCTTTCCAATATAATTTAAAACCAGGAATCACCATATCCCAACGATTTTCCTCATCTCACCAAGTTTCTGCAATACCCACAATGTCTATTTCCCCCCCCCCAACACCAAGCATTCCAACTCCCCAATTTTACCTTGGATACTTCTAGCATTTGTGTATAAACAGCTATAATTTCCCAGGCATGTTAGGCTTGCAACCTTCCTCCTGCTGCCTCGAGACCTTGCCAGGCAATCCATATTGTTTGTCACAGTCTCAGTGGACAATCTAAAACCATCTCCATGCAGAGAAGTAACAGCTACCCCGTCATCTCTTTGAGATGAGCCATCCCAAATCAGAGATTTTTCATTTCCTGACAGCTTTCCCTCAATATTCAGTTTAAAAACTGCTCTGCCACCTTTCTTATTTTAAGCACCAGCAGCCTGGTTCCTTCTCGGGACAAGTGGAAACTGTCTGTTTTGTACAGCTCCCTCTTTTTCCAAAAAGCATCCCAGTGCCTAACTAACTTGAACCCTTCCTCCCTACACTATTGTCTCATGAACACATTGAGACTCTTGATCTGTGCCTGTCTCTCCAGCCCTGTGCGTGGAACAGGTAGCACTTCTAAGAAGGCTACCTTGGAGGTCCTGGCCTTGAGTCTCCTGCCTAGCAGCCTAAATTTTTCCTCCAGGACCTCACA